ACTCCGCCCCCTGGTATACCCCCGAACTCCGCCAAATGAAATCAAGGAAACGTCAACTTGAACGCCAACACAAGAAAACCACACTAACAGTCCATCTTCAAATCTACAAAGACTATCTCCAGCAGTACAGTAACGCACTCAAAGCAGCCCGGTCTAATTACTACTCGCAACTCATTCAGTCTGGCTCCAGCAACCCCAAGCGTCTGTTCTCCACCATCAGCAAACTTCTCAAACCCTGTGACAACGCCACCTCGTCCTTCACCACAGAACAGTGCAACTCCTTCCTCTCGTTTTTCCAAACCAAAATCAGCAACATTTACAGCAATCTGACACCCTCATCAGCACCCCCCACCTCCCCTCCTGGCTCCCCCCCCCCTTCACCTCACAGCCCCTATCCCACTTCTCCCCTGTGACCCCCATGCAACTGTCCGACTTCATGACTGGAATTAACTTCACCTGCACACTTGACCCAATGCCCTCCAAATGTGTTAAAGAGAGCCTCCCTGCAATCTCCCAACTCATCGCCACCATCATTAACTCCTCCCTCAGATCTGGATCAGTTCCCCCCTCTCTCAAACTGGCTGCTGTCACACCCATTCTCAAAAGACCTGGACTCACACCTGACATCATGTCCAACTTCCGGCCCATCTCAAATCTCCCCTTTCTGTCAAAAATACTTGAACATGTTGTTGCCTCACAACTAAAATCCCACCTCAGCTCCAATGATCTCTTTGAGCCATTTCAATCCGGTTTCCGATCAAAACACAACACCGAAACAGCTCTTCTGAAAATCACAAACGACCTCCTCCTCTCCTCTGACTCCGGCAACCTGAACATCCTCATCCTCCTCGACCTCACCGCAGCATTCGACACCATCAACCACGCCATCCTGCTGTCCCTCCTCGAATCATCACTCAACATCACCGACACTGCACTCTCCTGGCTGAAATCCTACCTCACCGACAGACATCAGTTTATCAACATCAACAACTGCACCTCCTCCACTGCTCCTCTGTCCCAAGGCGTCCCCCAGGGTTCGGTGCTTGGCCCCCTCCTCTTCATCCTCTACATGCTCCCCCTTGGCAAAATAATTTGTCGCCACAACCTTCAATTTCACTGCTACGCAGATGACATCCAACTTTATATCTCAACAAAAACCATCACCCCCCACAACACACTCCACTCTCACCAACTGTCTCTCAGAAATAAAAGCATGGATGCAAACAAACTATCTCCAACTGAACAGTGCCAAATCAGACATCATCATCATCATCATCATCATCATCATCATCATCATCATCATCATCATCATCATCATCATCATCATCATCATCATCGGCCCCCCATCCCGTATCAAAGACATCCAGAATTTCAACTTCACCATTGACAGCCACACTCTATCTCCCCCCCTCACATCCGCAACCTCGGAGTCATCTTCGACAGTCAGCTCAAATTCAACCACCACATCAATCACATCACCAGGACCGCCTTTTTCCACCTCAAAAACATTGCCCGTCTCCGCCCATCACTCTCCTCCTCTGCTGCTGAAACCCTGATTCATGCATTCATCACTTCACGACTCGACTACTGCAATAGCATCCTCTACGGCATACCATCCAACCTCCTCAATAAACTCCAACATATCCAGAACTCTGCTGCCCGCCTCCTCGCCCACACCCGCTCCCGAGACCACATCACTCCCGTCCTCCAGAACCTCCACTGGCTCCCCGTCCGTCAAAGAATCAACTTCAAAGTCCTCCTCATTACTCACAAAGCCCTCAACAATCAGGCCCCCCCCTACCTCACAGACCTGCTGCACCACCACGCCCCTTCCCGCTGCCTCCGCTCATCAGAAGCCAACCTCCTATCCATCCCCACCCGCACCAATCACCGGACCTGGGGGGACAGAGCCTTCTCCGTTGCTGCCCCCTCCCTCTGGAACTCACTCCCCCGACCCATCAGAGACTGCACTGACCTCACCACCTTCAAAAAACTCACAAAAACTCACCTCTTCAATCTGGCTTTTAATGTGTGATTGTTTTTGTATTATTTGACTTTAACTTTAACTATATATTTATTTGTTGTTCTTTTCTCTTCACTATATCTGTAAAGCGTCTTTGAGCACCTGTAAAAGCGCTAACAAATTAAATCATATTATTATTAACTATGTACTGTAACCAAAGGTTTCAAAGAGTATAAGCTGTATGTGGTTGACGTAAAAATATTGACCTAGAGAAAAGTACATTGCTGAGAACATAAAACCATAAAAGTTCATCAAGGTTGGAGGTGCTTTGTCAACGGTGAGCTCAACAAGAAGAACAAATATAGGTCTACTTGACAGCATATAACTATTGCAGTGCTTTCAAATAATGGAAAAATAAAGACAACACTCATTTTCTGGGCCAGACTTCCAACTCAGACAGGCGGTATTCAAGACACATGACTAATTGGTTCAATGGGTTCACTGCTCAGACTGCTGGTGTGTGCTTTAATTAGTAACTCACATTTTGAAAAATGAGTTGTTGGGCCATTTATAAAAATCATATTTTAGAAAGGTGAATCTAATGATGTCATTGCTTTGAATTGTGATTCACTACTAGTGGCAGACTGGCCATACGGAGTGTTGGGAGTTTTTCTGTAGGCTTCCTTCATATTTGGACCATTGCAAAATAAATAGATTGTAAATAGTCATCGGGCTATGGATCTGACGGGGGGGGGGTGTGACCCAATTGTTTTTAAGGGAGGTTCTCATAATAGGTCATGATTCACCTACTGTCACTACCATGAAGAGTTCATTTAATGCACATTTGGGAATGCTAGAATATTCATTTTCTGATAAAAGGACTATTTTGGCCAGTTTCATGTATACAGTGTAGTTCTTCCTTAAGTCCAGGTCCATTTTACATGAGATTGTGTCAAGCTGATATTATTAAAGAATCAAAAATGGCCCATCTTCTATAATTAAATGTATTAAACTGAAAGATTAAGAAGCTACCTTCTATAATTAAATGTATTAAACTGAAAGATTAAGGCGCTACGTTACTTTATATCCATCCTGCGTTGGAACACAGGCACACAGTTTAACACCAAGGACACAATCAGCACAGAGGGGGGGTGGATCACAAAGCCTGGGCTTGATCTCAGGTACTTGGAACGATAAAAAAAGTATGTGTGTGTGCTTTCTGAGTAAATATGTGGAGATTTTACATGTATCTGTAAAGGATTCCTATGTTTTTGTGTGTGCTAGAAGGGGCGAGAGTAACCTTCGTGACATTTTGAGTCAGTCACAGTGCTATGCTTCCAGCTAGAACAGTAGCAGCTTAGCCACTTCTGAACCTCCCACACATCCCCACCAACACACCGCCGGGCTACAAAGCATCTTTGTTCTCCCAGGAGATCATGCAAAAATCTCTAGCTCCAATTTCCCACAGATTTTTCTAAATGTAGCTTTACCTCTGTCTTTGGCAAAATAGTTGATGTTGTTTTTGGTTTGTTTTGTTGTAACCTTAGCATGGTGATTATCCAAACTAATTCCTCAGAAAATAAGTGGAAGAAGAAAGAAGGGAAGCAGTTTGACCGGTCAAACACGCAGTGTGGAGTGCAACACTGCGGGAACACACACAGCGATAAAGAAAGCTTACAAGGCCTGCCTGCTGATGCGCAGTGAGGCAACTCAGAATGCCGACATGTTCCTGGGTTTGAGTGTTCCTGATTGCGTGTTCAGGAGTATATGTGTGTATCGGATCAATGTGTGAAAGTGTCAAAGGGCAGATGGAAAGAGAAAAACCCCGACTGAACCCCGTGCCAACAGAAGCCGGATCACCAGACTAGCAAACGTCAAAAGTCAAGACCCAGCAGAAAGATCAAGAGTGCATGCAGACATGACCGGAATACTCGTGTTGGACAGAAGAGAAGACTTAAACAGTACAAAGAAAGACTTCTAGTGCTTAGAAGGTGTTAGTTGATGTGCAAAATAAATAATGGATGAAAAGAAGGGAAACATTATAAAAAACAAGAAAAAAGAGAAAGAGAAACAAACCTGGGCAAACTGGCTCACACCAACATGAATAAGAATTTAGAAAAAATCTTCCAACAACCCAACCACCGGCGTGTCCATCGCAGGGCCAGAACGCTGCAACCAGGGCCTCAGACTCATAAACCACCATTCACATTTAATTTGTGTCCAGCAGGGCTACAGTTTCCTGCCCCGTCGTGGCCATATAGATCCCCGTTTTCAAGAGAGTGGTTTTCGATCTGAAGTTAAAAACATTTAGAGTTGGCCCTTGTCCTGCAATTTGGCCCTGCTGTGGGTAAAAGGGGTCAATCAAAAGCCTCTGTTGCGCTTTGCTGAAAGCGGGCCAGCAAAGGAGAAAGAGACGGATACAATTCCAATGTGAAGATTGAGAGAGACAAGCATCCCTGCAGCTCTGATCGCAGCCCTGATCCCAGCATGTGTGTGTGTGTTTGTGTGTGTGTGAAAGAGGGATTTATGTTTCTGTACATGCATGTGTGCAAATGTATGTGCATGTCTTTTAAATGTGTCAATAGTAGTGTGTGAAGGTGCACACCTGATAACGCGATAATGTATGGAGTAGCATCATCTAACAAGTGTGATTATAGGTGTTTGTGCGTGTGTATGTGTGTGTGTGTGTGTGTGTGTGTGTGTGTGTGTGTGTGTGTGTGTGTGTGTGTGTGTGTGGTGTGTGTGTGTGTGTGTGTGTGTGTGTGTGTGTGTGTGTGTGGGTGGGTGTGTGTGTGTGTGGGTAGGTGTGTGGGTGGGTGTGTGGGTGTGTGGGTGGGTGTGTGGGTGGGTGTGTGTGTGTGTGTGGGTGGATGTGTGTGTGTGTGTGTGTGCAGGCAGTGAAAGCATGCTGTTTGAGAAAATGGTCCCATTGTGTTTTATGGGATGTTGTGAGGTTTTTATCATATTTGCAGCTAAATATCTCTGCTGTTTTGTGTATAAAAACGTCCACACTGTGTTTGTGTTTTGATGGACTCACCGATGACGATGGTGGTAATCTGGTGCCTGCTGGCCCCGTGCTTGTTCTTGACCTCACAGATGAAAGTGGTGTTGACGGCGTCGTCCACCTTCCTCACCGTCAACTTGTTGCCGCTCACCTCTACTGTGTCTGGCATCGCCCCCGACGCCCTGGAGGGAAGAAAAGATGAATTAAGGAAAGAGGGATGGATGGGAGGTATGAAGGGAGAAGAAGAAAAGGACAGGAGAATGAGAGATGACAGAAAAAAAGATTAGAGGACAGAAAGAGGGAGAAATAAAATGTAAGAAAAACAGCCGGTAGACCATATGGTTTCGAGATATTGGATAAAACAAGATGAAGTATAAGAATATCAAAAAGACAAATCGATGAGAGAGGGGGGAGAGAAAAATGAGAAAGAAGAAACAGAAAAAGTCGGGAACCGATAGGGATGAGAAACGAGAAAAAAATGTCACTTTGGTATTCAAACAGCATTAATGTGAGCAGAATCACAGACATGTGAACAGCCGTTCTGTCTCCCTGCTCAATATTCATCAAAAACACACTCTCACAAAACCCAGCACAGCACACCATCTGTCTATCAGGATGAGAAGTTAAGAACATTTGTGTTTATCAAAAAATGTGTGGGTGATTATCGTTTAAGACGGAGGACTGTTGTGCACAGTTCTGTCGTGATTACATCAACAATCACAGATGGAGAGTGGCTCTTACGCGGTCCAGGTGATGGTGGTGGGCACAGGGTTGCCACTGGCCATGCAGAGCAGCACGGCGTCTGAGCGCCCGACGTACCAGTTGTTGTCATATCCTTCTATGGACACAGAGGGGGGGTCTGAAAGAGAGAACGGGATGTTAAGGAAAGTGAATTGCCTATCAGTGACATGGAGATGGATGAAGATTGGTGTGTGAATCACAGGCCTTATTGCAGGAATCTAACAAAAAACCCACGCCTTTGAGAAAAGCAAACGGGTAGTGATGAGTGACTCATTCATGGATTTTAGGACTCATTCCTGCACCACTCTATTAAAGGGATAGTTTTGATTTTTTAAAGTGGGGTTGTTTGAAGTAATATTAGGCCAAGAACCAACTACATCAAAGTCGCATTGGTTGAGCAAAAACACCACTAAGATAAAGGCGGACTGTTGTTTATTTAGACCTATGTCAGCAACTTCCTTCTTTACGACACATAAAGCTCTAGACGAGTAAAGGGTATTTACTGACATATTTAAATAAAATGTATAACATATTTTAAGCTTGTGTTAATCGAGTACTTTTGTAGGAATCTAACCAAAAACACATTCAAAAACACATTGACTTTGAGCATATTGGGAGTGCTAAAATGCTAACTCATTTCTGGGTTTTAGGACTCATTCCTGCACCACTCTTTGAAAGGGATGGTTTTGATTGCTTGAAGTGGGGTTGTATGAGGTGCCTTTTCATAGTGTTATTCCTAAAGTAGATGGCAGTAGACACGCTTAGCAATGTAATTCTGTGGCAGGGGGCGGCAGAAAAACATATTTTAGCCATCTAAAAAGACCCACTTTGTTGAATACGAACTAACTATAGACACACAATGACACAAACAAACTAGCGATCAAGGCAGATGTAGACCAGCTACTGTAGATTAAAATGTATACACATTTTTTTTGGGTGGCTAAATCATTTTTGGCCATTTCAACAGTACATTGCTCAGCCTTTGTGCCATACTTCTGTCTGTTTCTCCAAACTGAGGGCGTGATGACTTGCATCTTCTGACAAGGGATAAATACATCATACAACCCCTCTTTAAAAGATCTGGACAACCCCTTTAATCTGTTTCAAATGGTTACAACACAAAGAAACACACTTCAAGACTGAAAGGAATGTGTGTTAAGGTGAGGTGTGTAAGCTGTGCTGTATCCGGAGTAAAAACCCTGCTACCTTAAAGAGCTTTTCTCCACAAATTCAAAGCACACTTATGTTGGGAGGATGAGAAAATCAGTTAGAGTCACTATCATAAGTCTTTTTATTTGTTTTACAGTGAATGCAAACCAAAGCATGTAAGGAATTAAAACAAGCTAATAGAAAAGCTCTCTTCGCACAGAGAGAGATTGACCAAGAGAGAGAAAGAGACAGAGGGGAGTATGGGTAGAAGACAGTGTGTGGGAGTGTGTAATGTGAAGTGTGTGTTCCTCCTAGAGAGCGCTGACCTATAAAAGCAGATCTGAGTTACAGCGCAGACAGGAGACATGATCCCTCACACCAGCGCTAAACTAACCCTTACACAGTGAGGAGTCACAGTGTGTTAAGTGTGTGCTCCTGTTTGCCTATCCTTGTGAGGACCAAGGCTTCAAGAGTGATGACAATTTGCCTCGATAAATGTTTGGTTTTAGAGTTAGAATTACATTTAGGAAAAAGGAGTGTACAGAGATGTCATTATTTCCACATCCTTACACTATAATTTTCTGTCTCTCTGCATTCTGTTATTACAGACGCCAACACACTCACAAAGGCTGCACACATGAGATGCTAAATCTGATTAATTACACACTGAGATGCACCGTTTGTTTATATGTTGCTTTAAAGCCAGTGAAGTTAATTTGACAGCTTGAATTGCAGGCATGACCCTGTGTCTTCAGCCCCCATACTCAGGGTCTCTTGTTCTTGTAGAATCCGTTTTTTAAACACATTGCTGGTTACTTCTTGACTGCAGCTTGACAGGCAGTTTTGATTACTTGTGTGTGTGCGTGTGTGCTCTAAAAATGGCAGATTATAAAAAGACAAAGACAATCTGTTCCATCTTTGCAGGAAACTGCAGCGAGGTCACAAAGGTGAGACAATGCTGTCAGCTTCACTAAATCTCTGTAAAGCCACGCTGAACCTGTCGCCTGTTTTAATCCTGTGGAAATGAATGGATTAGAAGAAAGCTAAAATGTGTGTGTGTACATTTGTGTGTAAACATGTCTCCTTGATTTGCTATACTCCAGAAAGTGAAGAAAGGTGATTTTATGCTATTTATTTTAAAGTATCTTTTTAAAATTAGGTCTTTGGGTGTGAAATTGCGTGTTATCACTAGGCATCAGTTTTGCCTTTCCTCATATTGTGCGTAATTATACAATTCTGGATGCATTTGTCACAATATGCCAACACATTTATAACAAAGGTCAAACGGAGGCGAACACAAACACCTTGATGGAAACTATACCTGTTGTTGTTCTGCTAATCAGCAAAGGAACACATTAACAAACATTTATGTGGATGATGGAGAGTGATAATAACAAACTGAATGTAGTCTATGCCTGAGGCCTGTACTACGAATCCAGTTCAACAGACCCTGGATATGTTTGAGTTATCTGGCCCAAAACAAACGCGATCTCGCTAAGAGGTCCTACGACGCTGGTTATCAACTCGGTAACTCAAGTCAGGGTTTCTCTGTCCGGCTGAGTGCATGTTCACATGAAAGGGGCGGGGCTAGCAATATTTGACCAATCACAAACATGGACCAGCGTACTGACAGCGCAGCGTCATACTTCCTGAATGAAAAGTCAACTATAATATTAGACATATGAAGAAGTTAAACTTGAAACATCCATGACTTAAACACTTTATCCAGGATCAAAGCCACATAGCTGCACCTGCAAGGTGAATACAGCTGGTAACAGAACAAGTGTTTGAATGCGTACATTAACAGGTTTCTGATATCACTGCCCCGTCTAAAACACGATCTGACTTTAATTACATTTGACTCGAGTGTTTCGTCAACTTATTGTGTTGCTTAAAATAATGCTTCTGCATACAGTATGTGACACTGTGAGGGTGTTGCACGGCCAGATACGGCTCAGCTGACTCAGATAAGGAGATATATGATACATTATGATGTGATATGATGAATGATAATGGGACACATCGACGTCTGCACTCACAGTGCCGCTGACTGTACGTAATGTTACTTTGATCCGGTTACTTATGTTGTGGCAGATATTTAAGTAAGTACGGAGCCCTGGAGGGTTCACAGAGAGAAAAATAAATAAAACGAGGTCACGTTTTATTAATTTGTGCGCATGAGATGTAATTTGTGCGCATGAGATGTAATTCGTGGCTTCAATTTAAATAAAATTAGGCCACGTTTTATTAATTTGTGCGCACAATATACTTTCTCGTGCGCACAAGATACTTTTTCGTGCGCCACTATCATAATATCTTCTGAAAACAAATGCCCACACATACACACACACAGACACACACACACACAAACATACACACACACACACACACACACACACACGCCCTGGCGACTGGAAATCTTGTTCATAAATCTAATGATATGGCGTAATAATCGGGCAGTTCGATGTGTCTAACCGTAAGAAAGTATCTTGTGCGAACGAGAAAGTATATCGTATTAATAAAACGTGGCCTCGTTTTATTTAAATTGAGGCCACAAATTACATCTTGTGCGCACAAATTAATAAAACGTAGCCTCGTTTTATGCATTTTTCTCTCTATGAACCCTCCAGGGCTCCGTAAGTAAGCTTTCTTAACGCTAATGTTATATTAGTCAGATTGCTCTGAAGATGGGAGGTGATATTCTATTAATGTTCACGTTCACACAGTCGGTGATTTTTGCCAGCCGTCTTTCCTGCGACGGCAGCTTTTCTGTATTTCCTTTCTCCTGTAATATGACTTGATCGCTTTAAACTCCGCACACTGAGCTCTGATTGGTCAGCAGGCGGTGCTTTCACTGAGTTGAGCTCTTATCCTGGAACCTAACCTGCTCCGGAGCAGGCTAGCCGTTCAGCATAAGTTACCATGGAGATCTAGCCCGGTAAAAAGTGAACCAGCGTCGTAGGACCGGAAACCCAGAGTTTACCCTGAAGTTAGCTCGCTAAGCGAAAATCCGGCTTCGTAGTAGAGGCCTCAGGTATTTTGTTGCTATTGGATCAGTTGGTGGATTGATATACCAAGGTCTTGCGGGGTTACAACTAGGTTTAAAACTACTTAAGCCAAGAGTAGGAGTGAATATTTGTCCTCAAATATCACCCATACCTTACCCTACATCAGTTTCTCTGCACTGTTTGTTTATGTTATTGTTTCATGTTGGAAACCCTGATAAACTAAAAAGGTGTTCTCAGCTGTTAAAGCAAATAAACCAGATGTTGTTTTTGTCATTTGAGAAGAGACTGGGAGGTGCTTTAGAATGGAGGTGTGCGAAGAAAGTGTTGCACACTATTATAAAATGATCACCTCCTCATTATCGCTGTATAGTAGAGAGGATATAAAGTGCAATGTTTGTTCTTCATAGATAAGTGGTGAAACGTCTGCCAAATTAAACACCTAAAGACTCTGGCAAGGCACAGATCTATCTATGAAGTTATTTGTATCCTTTTATGACCCATATGGAAAAAGATCAACCTAGTGCCTATGCGTTATTTAAGCTCAAGAAGACATTATCATGTAAAAAGGTGTTTCTTACATTCCACCGAGAGCTGGACGGTGTGAGCCCACGGTCGCTCCTGAGTCTTCTGTTCCACCATGCAGGTCACCTCCCTGCCGTTATCTGCTGCCGTGGGAACCAGGCGGTACTCGCTGCGAACCGTCACTGTGCCATCCGGCCCGTTGGTGGTGTTGGTGGTGTGGTTGCCTCCAACTGACCCCAACCATTTGATGGTGGCCGCTGGTTTGCCGTCCATTGCCTCGCACGTGGCCACCACCACCGACTTGGTCTCGGCCTGAACGGTCACAACGTTGGCAGAGTTCTTAGGCTTAGCTGGAGGCAGAGAAAGGGGGAGACAAGTGGGAGAAGAGCAAAAGAAAGAGATATCAGACAAGAGGAGGTTCAATCAGTTTGAGGTGTGTTCACATACTGTACACCGTGGCACCCTGCTGTGTGTAATGCAATTCGGATGAGAGGGATGGGCCCTCTGGTGTGACCCTAGGCCTCAAATACATCACAGAGACACCGAAAAGAAAGCAAAGCAACATCCATAAAAAGTCCTGCAGTGTCTTCATTAAAGCCAATGAAGAATTTGAATTGTAAAATCCAGTTTATTAATTACAGCTTGTATTCTATTAGAATATTCCAGAACAAAGCGAATCCCTTGCAAATGTGTGAAACAAAAATGTAACAGTGAGAAAGAGAGCCTTTGTCTTTGACCCAGTTATAATGCATGTTTTACATCAACCAATTGGTTTGGAGAGAGCTTCATCATCATAGACTTTCTTGCAGGTAGTTCCCCAATTGAAGTGAAACATCAAACATACCGACAGTTACGAGGTTTTCACATTTCAACAGCGATATTGCAACATTGCTTTCTCCTCTCCCATCACATTAGCGTTGTTAAATCAAAGCGGACTTGTTCTATAAAGTGGCATTGTTCCAAGAAAATGCCCTTCCACTACCAATAAATCTGTAAATGTCAGTGAATTCCCATTTCGTGATGTCAAGTGCTGCAATTTACTTTTTTGTTACCCACTGTTCAAATGCTTCATGTTGTACTGCAGGATGTGATTTTGTAATGTTCCCCTAAATTCCTTTCAACCTGCGGCACAGAGACTTTACTTATCGAAAAAAAACGGGCAATTATTGAAAACACTTTTTTGCTAGTGCATTGACTGCTGCTTTATTCGGGGTTCTGTCAGTGCTGAAATTGGTTTATCTGTGTTTTTGAAGAAATAAATCATCACTATGATTCTGAGGGACTGACACCAAAGTGTATATTCATGGTCATTGATTAAAGTGTTTGGACATTTTCTGATACATCTACACTGTAAATAGCTCAACATGGTTGAGCATGTTTACATTTGGACAATGTGTCATGTTTTTAAAAGAAGTATACCAACAACCAACAGAAAATACTTGAAAATGCCTATCCTTTAGCATTACCCCAGCATTAGTATTAACAAGTGTTTAAGGTCTTTAAAATAAAGAAAACATGCAAATTACTTTAATATCCATTAGAGATTTTTATTTTTAACGCCCCTTCATACCAGCATTTAGAGGTGATTCGATTTTAGTGAAAAATCATGGCAATTCAGGGACAAATGTTATGCATCAACTTCGGTACATTTTCACTTTAAAATTGGCATTAGCAAGAAAACCGAGCTCCACATAGTGGATAATGGAGAAAGCCATTGGAGCTTCTGTGTAGCACCTGCCCCTTCTATTCAACCTTCCCTGTGTAAGTACAAAAGGCTCCACAAAAGCAAATTGGTTTGTGGACAGTTTTGCGACAGAAATAAATGTAAAAATACTTATTTTCAATAAACTGTGTGAAGGTTCTGACACACCTGGAACCACCGAATGTTTCCCGGAAAGTCATTCTGAAAATGTCACATACGAGCGACAATGTGCCTCCATCGTCTATATGTCTGCCCGCTTTTCACCTTTGTTTGGAACAACTTTGGATTTCCCATGTGGTATGACAAAAGTAGTTTGAATCTCGTCTTTATTTTTTTTACCAATTTTCTAAACAATGACAATTTTGATGTACCACTTTATGATGTGAGCAGTTATTCTGCCCAAGATGGCAATCGCTACTGATTCTGGATCTAGATTGACATTTTACCACTTCATAGTGTCAACCATCGGCTTTTTGATTACTCCAACATTTGAAGCTGGATGCTGCTGTGAAGACTTGCAGTCTCCAGAAGTTATGCTTGCATTAGTGAACATAAATGTACTTTTTTGCTTAAAAATTCTAGGGCTGTCCCGAATACCATTTTTCAGGCTCCAGATATCCGGTAGTAATCAGCAGCGAATATTCGGCCCGCGCGGGGGGGGCGTAGTAATCAGCAGCGAACCCCTTCAACACGTGTATTTCGGTTTATTCACAGCATTCTTTTTGTTATTCTACAGTATTGTTGTTTTATAGTTAATTGTTAATGTAACCCAATTTGTGTTCTTTGAAATTGAAAAAGATATTGCATTGTGTTTGTTACTTTCGTTGCAATTGTATATGTCTTAAGTGTAATTTGGCTTGGCTTCCTATTTTTTATGGACATGCTTTTATTTTGAAGGAGAGTTAGCGCTGTTGACAGGAAGTTGTTGTTGCTATGGAAACAACGTGATGGAGATTAACGGAGAAACGGAGTCTACATATAAAGACGGAGAAACGATAAAGTGTATGGTTAAGTGTTAGCACCCCCTGAAGAGGCACAAGCTCTCTGGCATTGGAGATTTCACCAAATTGAATTTATCGAATAACGAAATTGAAACCCGAATAGTACTCCAACGAACGAATATTCGGATATTCAGGTACAGAGCTAAAAGATTCCTCCTTTAACTTGAAATGATTATTTCCTAATGTCAATGTGTAGTCTTTGTTAACTGTATGGTTGATTGTGTCTGCTTTCATCATATATTATATCAAACCAAATCCAAGTGACATTTAAAAAGTCTTAGATATTGTCTTTCTGAAAATGGAATATATCACAGGAAATTAGATTAAACAAAGAGCCTGAATAGACATGGAAAGCTTAGACAAAGCTTGACAAATGAGCAGAGATTTTAGATATGAGGGGGATAGGAAAGGAAAGGGAAAAGGGAGGCACAAACAGAGGACAGATGAACTGAAAGGCATAAACAGAGAGGGATCACATAGAAAAGAGAAGAGAGTGAATCAGAGTGGCAGAAAGAGGTTTGGGATTGAACAGCGGGCCTAAACAAGTCAGGAGTATCAATCCCTGATGTGTTTCCTGACATTGAATCGGATTGGGCACACTGTTAGTCATCAGAGACATTTTGTGTAATTAGAAGGCAAGCAGGAAGTTATGCTGACAGAGCTGAATAAACAGCTCTGTTTACCCCCCCACCACCAAAACTAACCCTTCGGTACAATCAATAGCCTGAATGATAGAGACTGACAGGGAGGGAGAAACGAAAGTGCCTCATGTTTCCAAACACTGTTAACAGCATGGACTGTATTTGGTTTATGAAACCAAGCACTTAAAAAGCTTAAAATGTGTCATAATCAACGCATGCTTCAATTTCTTCTATTAAAATTGCAATTTTGTGCGTGTTTAGCCAAGAATGATGTTCTTCAATCAACTCGTCGTCACATTTGCTCGCTTCAGAGAGACATTTACTGTGAGACATTGTCCCAGCAGCTTCAGCAAGGCAGACGCTTGTCCTAATGTGAACCTGAAACTTCTCTAAAACTCTTTCTTTCTGACTTAGCAAGCAGTTACAGATCAAAGCTTGTGACTGGAAGATTGCCAGACGGAACGTTAAAAAACAAGTTGGGCATATCTGCCAAGCATGAAGATTTGTAACTGAGTGTGAAGCCGGCTGTTGCTGCATTAAGGCAGCATTCACACAGGACAGCTGACATCAGGACATTAGAGGTTTCTCAATACTCTAATTTCCCCTCCTCGACTCCTATCCTCGATACTTAGTCCCGCCCACAGGAGATGCGAGCGGAGGACTGAGGAGGGGAACCGAGGAGAGAGGAGTGGAAGCAGCAGGCGGTTAGAGAAATGAGAACTCCTCTCCTCTGAGCGGTCATTTTAAAAGAGACTCAATCAATCAATCAATCAATGATGACAGGAGGCACAGCAGCCTTCTGTCTGATGGACAGATGTGTTCATGATGACTATTTACCTTTAATTCATTCACAGTGCGGTATAATGAGACAATAACAGGCTACAGATGCGGACATATACACACACATATATTTATATAAATATATACAATTTCAGAATCAAACAAGTATGAGAGCACTCTCATAATAACGTAACACAACCAGAGACTGGATATATCCCCCCCCCTCTCTCGGGTCGCTGAAATGGGGAATTTAAATTACGGGCCAAAAGTTAAATTTACAAGTATTAAAAGTAAGCAGAGGACACCAAACCAACTGAGACCCGTCTGTCCACTGCATCTACGCACTGTACAACCACACACACCTACACACTGTACCACACACACCTACACACTGTACCACACACACCTACACACTGTACCACACACACACACACCTACACACTGTACCACACACACACACCTACAGCTCCTAAAGCATAATCAGGCTACAGCCGTTGTGTATTTTATTATGTGAAGCACTAAATGGTCTTAGAAAAATATCGACTCTTTGTTTGTAGATATCTACTAAACTACAGCAAACAAATACAGAGAGTAATGTAGGTCTGTTATACTGAGTGATATATATTATACACACTGCTCTGCTTTCTGCACGGACCTCACAGCTGTTCTCAATGTAGAGAGCCTCCTCAATACTCGGTTCTCGATGTGCATTTAGAGAAATGAGATGTCCTTCAACATGGCGTGCTGAAATTCATTTCCGGGTCACTACCGGAGGACCGAGGAGTCGAGGAGGGGAAATTAGAGTATTGAGAAACCTCTATTGTGTTGAAACCATCCAGACACCCAGAAAGCTAATTAGTGAAGCCCAGTACGGACCACATTAATACTTACATTTGGCCCACATTCTGCCAAGCAACAAAAGTGATGAAGACATGCAATATGGCAGCGAGGACACAAACTTAACCTTGGTATTATGCAGAATTTAGCCAGACCCAAGCCACACTGCACCCCTTTTAAGACCTAACTCTTAACCAGATTACAAATAGTTTGCTGCATTTGGCCCCACTTACTGCATACTGTATGTGGTGCAGTAGAGATGAGCCATTCTGGGAGCAAAAACCCCCTCACCATTGCCACAAATGACCCATTTACTTCCTTAAATCAATCAAAGTTGACCCAGAATCATGTCCTATCTGGGTTGTGTCGCAGTGTGCAGCTCTTACAAC